ACAGATAAGATAAGGGATTATCCTTATCTTTTTAAAGAGAGTTCAGATCCAAATACAAGATTTGGATTAGGAAACTCATAATGGGATTAAGATATGCTCTCTTTAAAGGCTATAAATAGAGGAGCAGGGAGAACCTCCAATACACAATTCTCAGCTCATAGATGACAAAGAGAGAAGAAAATGCAGTTCGACTACTCCTGTCTTCTGCTCTTTCTTGCTCTTGCCGCCATACCAGTTCGATCTCCACCTGTGGGAGCGATCAAGAAGTGTTCTTGATATTACCTTTTGGCAAAAAAGGTAATCAGAAGTCATGCTCACTATCCCTCCATCAGATTCTTGTTGAAGAATCAGGTTTTTGCTGAAGAGCCATCTTGTTGATTCTACTTCATCCCACACCGTGTCATCTTCGGTGGAAGTAGTTTTTGAATCTTTTCTTGGGCGTGAACACCTTCATTGGAGGTTATTGTCACTTCGTATCAGGTATAACCCTCCACTCATTTTTTATTTCAGATCTGGTCTGGTTTAGGTTCAAGATTGATCCTTGAAAATGCAGTTTTCTAAAATAGGGAATGTGATTCCAACATGGGAGAGAAATTTTTGAAATTTCGCCCAACCTTCCTGCAGGGTTCGGCCATCCATATGATGGATCTCTCATTCCTTCAGGCAGGTCGCCAAATCGGCAGTAAACTCAGGTCACCAGATCGGCGGTAAACGCAGGTCGCCAGGTCGATAAAAAGAAGATATCCAAACAGAATTAATGGTTCTGTTTCATGAAATTTTGATCATTCAATCCATCTCCTAGGATCAAAAATCCTTTTCACTCCTAGGATCAAAATCAGCATCCGAAACCTTTTTGGCTTGTAAAATGATGAAGGTATTTTTGGTAGCACCTTGTTGTTCAGACTACTTCTAGGTGGCCGAAAACTCAGAAGCCGAAGTGGAGGATTTTTGTTGGATGAGGACTTGGATAATAAGTTGACTAGGTCGAGTTGGGGGGTAGATTAGGTGTCGAGCAAGGTTGATTGCTAAGCTAGGTGGCTATTTAGTGAAACTACAAGGAATAAGTATTAGATCACCCAGGGTGACTAACCCGGGAAGGTCGCTCTGATGATAAAGTTAGTACTCTCCTAGTAAATCACGAGCTAAAAAATCAGAAAGTATGAGAGCTAGAATGTGCTTATGCGCCTCCCTCTTGTGTCATTGGGGTTGCTAACTTTATATAGGCATTTTTTGGTGTGGGTCTCACGCACCGCATCCGAGATTTCCGGGAGGTCGTGCCTAATCGGTCTGAGATCCAAGGAGGTAACCGCCATGCATGTTGATCATCCTCCGGAACAGTCGATACGTGGGCCAACTTTCAAGAAGCCTGGAAGCATCAAGATATGCAATCCAAATATGTCGGTGAACACATCTTGCAGGTCACCACCTGGTCCCTAGTCAGGTCGAGAAGCCCTCAAGGGAGGTCACTCCTCGTGTCGAGGTTACTTTGGCCAGTGGCGAGATGCTATAGGCTGACTCAGGACAAGCTGCTGCAAGCCAACCTAAGTTGTGGTTGAAGTCGCTAGGTCAGCGTAAAGGCAAGTCGCCAAGTCGATGGTGAAGGCAGGTCGCCAATTCAGTTGTAAACGCAAGTCGCCAGGTCGGGGTAAAGATGAGCCGCGATATAGGACTCCAAATCCTCACTTAGGTGGTGTCTACATGTTATCTAGCTATTCTGAGATGCCATGTGTCACAATGTCATTGCAGGGCCAAATCCGCCGTCATCATACAATAGATAATGCAATTCTTCCTCGAGGACCTTCACAACTGTTGTTGATATTCTTAGCAAAGTCCTATTCAACAGAATCTATATCTATGAAGATATTCTTACTAGGATTTAAGCCCCAATAAAACACAATATTAGTCTCTGTTGCATCTATGCTAACATATTCAATCGGATTGGGATCACAAAATCCTTGCACCTCCTCCAACTGTAGACAAGTTTGAAGTATAAAGACTCAAGAATCAGAATTAACAGAGCTTTACAATATGGAGAAAAAGAGGTCATGAAGGGAAGATGATGCTTGCCTTGACAAGAAGACAACGAATGCTCGACTTCACCCAACCAACCCAATCGCCCAATGCATCTAGGTTTGAAGCAGACAGGAAGATCCAGACAAAACACTTGTATCTCTTTGTGAAGCAGAAATGTTCAAACAGGCTACTCCATGCAAAATTTGGCCTCAAAAGGTCCTACAATTAAATAAATAATGCATGATTTCAATAGGAAGAAAAATCAAATTCTAACCAACCTAACCAAGACCAAAGGACATTCAACTGCTAGTCATATGGAATGAAAGTAAAAGAAATACAAAAACAAAAATTAACCAACCTAACACTTCTGCAGCCAGATAGTCAACCCAAATTTTGATTATATGAAGGCACAAAATATCGATAAAAAGAAGATATCCAGACAGAATTGATGGTTCTGTTTCATGAAATTTTGATCATTCAATCCATCTACCATGTCAAGCCCTTTGACTAAAATTCAAAAGTATCATTGCACCTCCAGCAGTGACTAGGTTCATGATTTCCTACTTTCAAAATTCGAGGAGTTAATGCACATAATTATGGTTTTCTGGATGATATGTATATATTCCCATTCCCGCCTAAAACCAAACACACTATGGGAATAGACCATTCCAATTCTGATTTTGAACGATTTTTTTTTTTTATGGCTGCAAACTAAATGGATCTTAAAAGAAATTATATCTCCTCCCTTTAAGGCCCTGTTCGTTTCCCGAATTCTAAGGAGGGAAAGATGGTGAATGGTATTACGGTTCCCACTAACCATTTTTCTCATGTTCTTTTCAAGTTTTTTGTAGGATCCATATAAAAGACACATCCCCTAGGTAAATCCATCTCTGACTTGGGTAAGTAAATTTTCCGATGTGGAGAGGAAATGGGGGAATTCAAAACAAGGTTCAAAGTATCGACACAGGTCGATATCATATCGGTGCTTTCTTTTAAGTTTTGTTTATTTTTTTCAAAACCAGTTCAGAGGGGTTAGTTTAAGTTCTGACTACCCTCTAAACGATGGCCTGACCCGATACAGGCCGATATGTATCGATACTTTGAACCTTGATTCAAAACTCTCAAAAATAGCCCTTTCGGAAGTGATTAGGGCTCAAAATCTTCTTGCAAACTCCATTCACAGCCACTGCTTCCTCCATCAATGACATTGCACATCTATCTTTGCGGTTGCCACCGCTTTACCACCCCCAAATTCTCTCATCTCTCCTACTCAAGCTTTCCTCCACTAAAGCTCCCATTGAAACCACAAGTCTTACGTATTCTCAGTCAAATTGATCTTGTTTCATTTCAACAATTTTTTAATAACTTATAATTTATTTCCTTGTTATGGCTTTTTTGTGGTAAGATGCAGAGTTTGTAATCAATGAACCCCCATGAAAAACAAGAGGAGCAAATCATTTTTTTTGTTTGCCAAAGCTTCAGAACTGGTCCATTTGAGTTTCAAATGTGAACTTTCTCATTTTTTGTTTGCCAAAACAACTCTTTAAAACACCATGTTGCAGTGGAGTCTACAGTTGGATTGTGCTGAAGAACTCAGGTGGATTTGGAATCATAATGTCCTACCCTACCACATTGCATTGTTTTTGAACGAAACAAAAGAAAATCATAACCTAATAAAATAAGGTCGAATCTAGGTGCAGTATAACTTGAAATCGTTTGATCTAAGTATGGACGTAACATTCTCTAGCAACCAAGTAGGTCGAGTACTAAGCAAAGTAGATCTAATACTGCATTAATAACCTAGTATGCGTTTGGTTCCATTGGCATTTATTGAAAAAACACTACCACATCAGCATCGCCATATAGGCATTGGCATTTATACCATATGAAGAAAAATGAAACAACTGTTTGGTTTCACCATTTATCAAATAAATAGTAAAAAACCGAAACGCTTTGATTTTTGTGCATGGGGCATTTGGGTAAACGCCAAATTCTTGTTTCCCCCAACGCCCCAACATTTCTTGAAACCAAATGCTGATGTGTCACACTTTAATAGGTATTAATCTGAGGTGGAGAATAAAAAATGTTTAAAGTGAAACCCAGTCAAACAACAAAAACATGAACCAAACAATAAAAAATGTTTAAAGTGAAAAAGTATAAATAACGTTTCAAGTGAAAAGGCACAAATAAACAGCCACCCATAAACGTAAATGGAACCAACACCCTCTAAATTTACATCCCTCATCCATAAGAATATAACATTCGTAATCATCAGTTGTTTATATATTTTGGGGTTAGACTATAATACCAAGAAGCAAGGGTCAAAGTATCAACACAGGCCGATACATCAACTTGTATCGGTACTTTTTTTAGATTTTTTTTTTTTTTTTGAAACTGGTTCAGAGTGATTGGATTAAGACCCAGCTACCCTCTGAACCAATGTCTAACCCGTTACAACCCCTAGAGGGGCGTATCGAGAAGCCATCAACACTATACGTATCGATACTTTGAACCTTGACGAAAAGACATGATATCTAAAAAACCATTGACCAATCAACCAATACCATACATAAATATATTAACCAATACGGGGTACAGGTGCATTTTTGGTCAAAGCTTTTCCGTTTCCAGATTTTCCTCTTTTCTCTCTTGCACTTAAATGTGTTTAGTTGTCAATAGAAAATAAGAGAAATGAAAAGTTCAAGCAAAATTCTTAAAAAATTGTGTTGGATTTTGAATATTTAACACGCTTGATTCGATACCACATTGGAGTAAACAAATTGATTGTTTAAATTTTCAATTTGTTTTGCAAAAAGGCACAGATTCATCGCTTGTTCTCAGATTAGTAGAGTCTTATCCATCATATTCTAATATTAATGAAAAGGAATTTGGCCTCGTTTTGCCGATTGAAATTGCTTCTCCAAACTATGCATGATAAGATATAATTTGAGACTTATGGTATAGCAAGAAAAGAATCATGTATATATAATCAGATATTGAAAGAATTACAATAAATGTATGCATTTACCTTGGTTTCTCACCCTATTCACCCTCCCCATTTCACATGGGTTTATAAGTATGCTTGTCCACCAGTTTACTTTTGTTGTGCTATCTCTCTTCTCTAAACAAAATTACCTCAACCCCTATGCAAAAAAAAAAAAAAAAAGAACTCAAGATCCCAAGTATTTGAAACCTAAGTAGTGTCATGTAGGTAAAACCCTCGACCACTGCAATTTAACCCCCAACAGCACTAACATCTCCATAAGTCGCAACATATCCAATAAAATACTGAGGTAAATGCTGAGAGTAAATTGATTTTCTTTGTTCATTATACCTAAAAATCCGCCAATATGCTTTAAAATCCTTTCCACTCTCAAGATCAAACTCAACATTCGAAACCTTTTTAGCTTGTACAATAGATAATGCAATTCTTCCTCGAGGGCCTTGACAACCATTGTTGATATTCTTAACAAAGTCCTGTTCAACAAAATCTAAATCTATAAAGATATTCCGACCAGGCTTTAAGCCCCAATAAAACACAATATTAGGCTCTGTTGCATCTATATCAACATATTCAATCGGATTGGGATCACAAAATCCATGCACCTCCTCCAACTGTAAAAAAGATTGAAGTATAAAGACTCAAGAATCAGAATTAACAGAGCTTTGCAATATGGAGAAAAATAGGTCATGAAGGAAAGAGGATGCTTGCCTTGACAAGAAGACAGCGAATGCGCGATTTCACCCAACCAACCCAATCACCCAATGCATCTAGGTTTGAAGCAGACAAGAAGATCCGGACAAAACGCATGTATCTCTTTGTGTAGCAGAAATGTTCAAACAAGCTACTCCATGCAAAATTTGGCCTCAAAAGGTCCTACAATTAAATAAATAATGCATGATTTCAATGTAAGAAAAATCAAATTCTAACTGACCTAACCAAGACCCAAGGGCATTCAACTGCTAGTCATATGGAATGAAAGGAAAGGAAATACAAAGACAAAAATTAACCAATCTTACTAACACTTCTGAAGCCAAATACTCAACCCAAATTTTGATTATATCAAGGCACAAAAAATCGATAAAATAAAGATATCTAGATAGAATTGATGGTTCTGTTTCATAAAATTTTGATCATTCAATCCATCTACCTTTTCGAGCCCTTGGACTAAAATTCAAAAGTATCACCGCACCTCCAACAGTTTCTAGGTCCATTATTTCCGCATTTCAAATTTCGAGGAGTTAATGCACATAATTATGGTTTTCCAACTGATATGTATATATTCCTATTCCTGTCTAAACCAAACACACTGTGGGATTAGACCATTCCGATTTCGAAAAATTTTGTTTCTGATTATGGTTGCAAACCAAGCAGACCTTAATAGGAATTATATCTCCTCCCTTTAAAGCCCTGTTCGTTCCTAAATACCATTCACCATCAGAAACAAAACCGTTTTGGTGCTTTTTTTAAGGTTTTATTTATTTTTTCAAAACCGGTTCAAAGGGGTCAATTTAAGTCCCGACTACCCTCTGAACGATGGTCTGACCCGATACGGGCCGATATACATCGATACTTTGAACCTTGATTCAAAACTCTCAAAAATACCCCTTTTGGAAGTGATTAGGGCTCAAAATCTTCTTGCAAACTCCATTCACAGCCACGGCTTCCTCCAATGACATTGCACATCTATCTTTGCGGTTGCCACCGCTGTGCCACCCACAAATTCTCGTCTCTCCTACTCAAGCTTTCCTCCATTAAAACCCCCATTGAAACCACAAGTCTTAGGTATTCTCAATCAAATTGATCTTGTTTCATTTCAACAATTTTTTAATAACTTATAATTTATTTCCTTGTTATTGCTTTTTTGTGGTAAGATACAGAGTCTGTAATCAATGAACAATTTTTTAATAACTTATAATTTATTTCCTTGTTATTGCTTTTTTGTGGTAAGATACAGAGTCTGTAATCAATGAACCCCCATAAAAAACAAGAGAATATCACTTTTTTTGTTTGCCAAAGTTTCAGAACTGGTCCGTTTGAGTTCAATGTGAACTTTCACATTTTTTATTTGCCAAAAAAACTCTTTAAAACACCCTGTTTCGGTGGAGTCTAGGGTTGGATTGTGCTGAAGAACTCAGGTGGATTTGGCAATGATTGTATTGAGCTGAGGCGGAGCATACCAAAGTCGATCTGAAATTCTGTTTCCTGAAACTACGATTACCCACCCTATCTGAATTAATTCCGAAATTATAAAAAAAAAAAACAAAAAAAAAATCTGAAGTAGTTCTGAACTAGGTGTGTAGTAATATCAAGCAGAGTCGAGTCCAAGTTTTGGGTGGCTTAAGCTCGAGCTCAAATATAAAACTCAGAGCTCCAAACTCAATTTGAGTTTCATACTCAAACTTGACTCAAGTCGTTACTCACAAATTGTTCGAGCTCGACTCAATTCAAGACAATTATAAATAAATTACTATTTAAACTTATAAATAAACTAATATTTAAAATATTATACATTTAAAATTATAAATCAATCTTATGAAATATTATAAATAAAAATATAATTATGAAACTTGATTTATTTATTTATATTATAAAAAATATATTGAAAAATATTATTTTATTAGAAGCTCAATTAATTTTGCAACCCAGTCAAGCCAAGTATTACAAAGCTCGAACTTGGCTTGACTAACTACTCGACTCGACTCAATAATCTTCGAGTCAAGTTCAAGTATTTAGTAAGCCAAGCACTAATAGCTAACAAATTGGCTAGGCTTGTTTACATCCCTATTCTAAACATTCATTTTCCAAGGAACACTAAAACAGACAATGCTTTTACTAAGACTTTGGGCTTCTTCACAATCAATTCTCGACATTTTGGCACCTTTGACCAATAGCTTATTCATGAAAAAGAAGATGAAAACCTATTGTTTAGTACAACGATGGAGTTGATTGGATCCTTCAGTCCAAGAGGCGGATGATGCAAAAGACCATGGGGAAAAGGAGACTCATTTACCTAGGTAAGTTAAACAAAAAAGAACACAAGTGCACTTACCTGAACTACAAGAAAACAAACAGGGCCCAAACATCTTATTACAAAAAGATAATAATTACTATTCAAGATCACATGGCCTAATTACCTAGTTGGTCCACTCTAATATTAGAAAATCAATCCTAACAACCATATTATCAAGAGAAGGAGAAAAATAAAACAAAAAAAAAGAACATGAGAAAGTGCACTTACCTGGGCAAGTGCACTCCTGGAAAACAAACGGGGACTAAACATCTTATTACAAAAAGATTATAATTACTATTCAAGATCACATGGCCTAACTACCTAGTTGGTCCACTCTAATATTAAAAAATCAATCCTAACAACCATATTATCAAGAGAAGGAGAAAAATAAAACAAAAAAAAAAGAACATGAGTAAGTGCACTTACCTGGGCAAGTGCACTCCTGGAAAACAAACGGGGACTAAACATCTTATTACAAAAAGATTAGAATTACTATTCAAGATCACATGGCCTAACTACCTAGTTGGTCCACTCTAATATTAAAAAATCAATCTTAACAACCATATCATCAAAAGAAAGAGAAACATTGGAGAGCCCATCCAAATTAACATGATGAATTAAGCATCTAACAACAATGTTAGAATAATTAGCCCTATCAATTAAAGATAAGGTGTGATATTTTGTAGGGAAAAAAAGTACCTTCGTAATAGCATGCCCACGAAGGAACTCTGCCACAATCCGATGGAAAGTGCTTCTTGTAATATTTGAGTGGCAGAATTCAAAAGGACTACATGGCAACCTAATAGGCATTAAGAAATGTGTCTCACTGACATCTCCAACAAGTGGCATCATTCCATCCTGCAACACTACTGGTGTGGGCCAACGCCAGAGAGCGAATGTTTCAAAAAATTTTGAAATGAGAGTGTTTAAGCTCGCATTTGGATGCCTCTGACAAACATAAGCAGAAAGGATTGCCAGGTGGATTCCTCCAAAGAACCCAAGTAGCTGCAAATACAAATGAAATAACTAGGAATTATTCAACAAATAGTCAGAGCCAAAAGGAAGTTCAATCAAATCAACAGCAAATAGATAGCACGAGTAGCACAGCTTACTTACATTACCATACACCCCTCGCCTTCTTGCCCATAACTTTAGACATCGCAGCATGGACTGGAAGTTCTGGAATGGGGTTAGCAAGAAAAAATATACAAGTTAAAATTGCAAAAAGAAGGCAAGATAGAAATTTAACTTCAAAAAAGAGTTCTTTTGTCTCAGTACTCAAGCAGCGTTATTAGTACCAAAAAGGCCTCAAACTGCTTAAACAATCCACACACACACTGACTGACAACCCAACTATTCCCGCTAACATGGAGTGATCTTGCAGTCAATCTAGGTTATTCATATTAATACAAAAAAGGAACACCATCTGCATTGACCATCATTACCTTCTCATGGCCCAAAATCAGTCTTACCACAGTACTGGAAGTTTTCCCAATGACCAGGTCAAGCAGGCCTCTGGTTCAACCACACGGGTCAAACAGGATGGCAACGGTTTGACCATCCAGGTCAACAACAGATTGAAAACATTGGTTAATTCTATAGTATATCTAGAAATAGAAGTATTCATGAAATATCTAGTATTGTATCCAAAAGTAATCATACCGACCCCAAGAATCAAATTGCAAAGCAAAGGATTGGAAAATCTAGAGAATGGAAAAAAAAAAAATCAAACTGTGTTTCAGTGAATAATGAAGTTAACGAAGTTGGACAGGTTTCCCAGATAGCCACAATTTTTAAAAGAAGCTTTTCATAGTTCAAGGCATTTTTTTATTGCTTCCCAAAATGTGGCCAAAGCTTCAACAGTAAAGCTCAGTACTTTATGCCTAAGCGCATAGATTAAGTGCATTTTGAGAGATTCTCCGTGTGCCTAGTGTGCCTTATGCCTCAGCCCTAGCACGTGCCCTTTTTAAATATTTCTTTTTTTGTTATATTTTTTAATATTCTTATACATTTTACACCCTTTGTAATTTTTTATCAATTTCTAAATTGCATTGTATTGTCGTTTGTACACTAGTAATGCTCTTTTAACTTTTAAAATAAACAAAAAACAAAGATCTTTCAAGTACCTGAAGCTTTACCTCTGACCTCAAATAACTAAATTTCCACTAAAGAAGAAACAATATAATACAACTAATATCTGATCCCTAATCCTAAAATAGAATGTAACTATAACTAAAATCATATAACCACCCTTGTGTGTGTGTGTGTGAAAATTTATGTCAGGGGGCCTGTGCCAAACCTCTGCAAGCACTTATTTGGGCTTGCTTCAAGCCTCAAAGGTCCTCAACGGAGGAGGACCGAACTTCTAGGAGTAGGAATACAAGATGTTTAACATCACACTAAAAGCTTGAAGGTAATACATATATATATATATATTGAAAGTTTCGCATATTTGAATTGTTGAGTGATTGAAGCATGAGTCTTATATGTCTACTTCTATCTATGATACCCAGATATGGATATGGGAAACAGGAATACAACTCCATTTCCTAAAATTCTGGACATGGGTACATGTATGGGTAGACCATGTAATATCTAATATGCTTATATTATGCATTTATATCTAGTATTTGAAGCTCTATGCCATTTCTCATGACTTATTATGTCTCATTTGTAGACATTTTTATAGTACAATTTGTCAAAACATGCCACTTTACATATTCTAAACGTATTGATGCTATAGGGTATAAGTAGAAGTTTCCATTCAGTATTTGGTATTCTATCCAATAAGTGTGCAGATACCATAGGATATGATACCAGTATGCCAAGCATGTATAAACATTGAAGTAACATAGGTTTACTTTCATTTTTTTACTTTGAATGTGTTTGATATGTAATTTGAGCAAATATGATTTTAAAAACATTGCATTTCTTTTAAAACTCAAAAATGCATTTTTGTGTATTACAAGTCTTACAATTTTATCAAAAATAAGAGCACCTTGCTTTGAAAAGGTACACACCACAGACCTTGCACCTCAAAACACTAAAAGGTCCTTGCACTTTTCTTGTGCCATCCACTTTTAAAATACTGACTGAGATCAGCACATCCAAGCAAGAATCAAAATATCAATACACACAATATCAAAAATTGGGTATCAGTGTATATTGATACACTGATACTCTTTTTTTTGTATTTTTTTTATTTTTATCAGCTTGAGAATTCCTTCTCTCATCCCAAACTTTCAACTCCCAACTCTGTCCATATTAGTATATCAAAGACCTTGGATACAATTCAATACACCCATACAGGGCGTATTTTATCAATATCTTAATCCTTGCATCCAAATAGAGTGTCAAAAATGTGAATCTGATTAGAGTAATAATATTGGAATTTGTATTGGCAAAGCCAACTGGAAAATCCTTCTTGGATTCTACTCCCCCCATTGTGGAAGAATGTAAATGATAGGACCATTTATAGTTTATAGCATCTGTTGCTTAAACTCAAATACATGAAAATAATATTGCAATAATTATACTTGCCACAAAAACTAACAAAAGACAACAAGAAAACATATAGAATGGCCCTCTGGGAATATGGCATAAATAGGTGATGTTAATGGGAAGGAAACCCTCATTTTATAGATAAAGATACTGTTCAATAGTGATAAAATCTTAACTTCTTACAGAAAAATGAAAAGCCCGTACAACCCCAGGCTCTAACGCTATGGAATATTGTCAAATCTACTTAAAACCAACCCATGAAATAATAGATGATACATAAAAGATTTGGAGCACAATGTGATCGGAGCAAAGAATATAGGCTTGAAGCTCCATTACCAATAGAAAAGCATAGTACTCCAAGCATCAAAAGAACAATCAGAACTAAGGCTTACCTGCAAGTTTGGGACAAGCTGAAGAATACAGATGTTAGCACGTACACCAGATAAGCTTTTCCAACTGGTTTCATCAATATTTCGTAAGAAGAGCGGGTTCAGAATATCCACATTCTGCAACGTTTATCACTCAATAATCAATATGCTTACATTATTAGGAACAAATATTAATCTATACCTATTCTACATTGATCATTTTGCTTTCTTCTCAGAAGAAAAGGGGAGAAAAAAGCAAGCACTTGAGAATATGTTTACACAGACTGTTATTTCATACAATGCAACTCTTTCCATTCCAGAGCAAAATTTCCATACAAAAGAATTTTACCTTCAAAAAGACACACAAAATACCATTTCTACTTTAATAAAAATTCATTTTGTGTCAAACCTCCTGTTGTAAAACATTGCAAAAAAACTGTCCAGCTTGATACATTACATAAAGATCAACAAGCGTGTCACCTGATAAAGATGATTTCATTTGTATGAATCACGGTATCATCTGGGAGAGCACATATAATATCAAGCAAAAAATGTCTTAAGTTCAAACACTGTAAACCATCTAATTAAGAAAGATGAGAGGGAATGACCCCTTCAATATGATAGTTATCATTCACACAAAAAAGAAAGAGGATCCAGCATTAGTTGCATAGCTGAAGACTTACGTCAGGAACAGATGGAACTTTAAGTTGTGCATATGGAAGATCAATAGAGATCCCATTGAATTTAAAGCGCATCAAAGGAACTTTTGCATCCTTAACACAGTGTATCTCTGACACTTCATGTCTATTTTGAAGCATGTTGCGCAGAACAATAAAAAAATCCTCCTGCAAGAACCTTTAATTTATCAGACAAGAAATAATGCTTGATACAATTCAAATAATTGATCAAAAGAATGAAGAAGCTTACAGTCATGGTGGCAAAGGAGGGGCCAACACATAATGCATCAATATCTGACTCTGGTCCATGAACCTGAATATTGAAAAATCATCAGCGCCAATACCTAAGATCTATGAGGTGCTAGAATCACAAATTAATGAGCAAAAGAAAGAAAGGAACAAGAATGAAAAGCAGTACAACTTATATCCAGTACCCATTTGATGTTAGGTGCCAGAAAAGAGGCTGAGAAAGGCTTACGAATGGCCACCTATACTTTTATCTGTTAGCCATATTCTTTCAGATGACTATTGTGACGGTAAAAAGAATGGGCTAACAGCAAGCCCAACATCTTTATAGGAATATGATAGGACATGTATGATACTCCATGAGTAGAATACCACAAAATGTCCCATGTTAAATTCCAAACCAACTAGAAAGTTGAGATAAAAGGAACAAACCTCTGTAATAGATAGGACCTAATTACTTTTAATTATCCTCCATATAATTCATTGCTTTATGTATATGCCTTCCTTTTATTTATTTTTAGTTGGGATGGGGGGAGTTGGAGGCTCTTCCAAGGGCTACCATCGATTTAAACCCACACATGCCTCTGCATGTATGTGCAGAAGACACAAACAATAAATAGAGGACCTTTGTTAAACAATATTAAAAAATTCCTTTACAAGATAAAAAGGAGTACAAGAGAAGGTGACAAAGAATCATTGAGGAAAAGAAGAAAATACAAGTCCACCATTCCCAACCAAAAACTATCACCCCATGCCGAATACACAACACATACAGAAAGCACCCACCCCAGTTTTGTATTTTTGTTTTGCAATGATCGAAATTTTCATTAGAAGAGAGAAAAAAGAGACAAGGGAAGGCAACAAGGAATCATCAAGGAAAAGGAGAAAATACAAGTAACTCCCACCACCACAAAAGCACCCCCACCCCCCATTGTGCTCTCAACCTCCAAAAAATGCCAGCCATCACTCCAAACCTTATTAGACTCGCCACCACTTAAATAAACCACTTGTCATCCTAAAAGCTTCTATGAAGTCTATATCCACTCAAACTTGATTACCAAGAAATATTTTGTTCCAAAGATATACTTTTATTGCCTCTAACTTTGTCTGATTTTCTCTTTCTTCCAATTCAAAAAACACATTTTTTGAAGACCACTCACCACCTAAGAAGAACAAACCAACCTTTTACCAATTGAACATCTTTTTCCAGGTTTTAAAAGTGCAAGGGGCAATTTGTGCCTAAGGTACAAGGTGCAAGGCGAGGCACGTATATATATATGTTAAACACAATATTAATAAAAACATAAACTTAAGTTTCAAAATAAATATTTTAAAAACCTATTATCTAAAATTAAAATACATAAGCATAACATGTAAAGCATATTCAACTGAAAAATTTAAAATAAAATCAAACATATAAACCATTTTCAAGCATGTAAAACCCACAATTTCTTTTTTCTTCCTCGACTGCATTACTTCAAATAGCTAATGTGATATAAAGCATCTTCATTCTTGATTCTACAAGCCGCCTTTGTACCAAGCCCCTCGAAGCAAGCCCAAACAAGTCCAGGTTAGAGTCTTAAATTCTTAATCCTTACACAAAAATGATTTTATAATTTTAATTGTCTTTTAAGAAGATATTTTACTAGGATGAATGAATGAACAACCCAACCGCTAGGCTCAAAAAAGAACAAATAGGGCCTAAAATGCGTCTCACCTGAGCACCTAGGTCCACCTATTAAATTACTGCCTTTGTCAACCACCATTTGTAAAATCCACATTCTTCTGAATTTGGATAGTTTCAACAAACAGGGCCACATCTTCAGTAACTTATAGGTTCACTTCTACGTCAAACTCTTTCCTCTCAAATATACATGTCATCTACCTTAAAATCTTCTGAACACTCATAGAATGGACGAGCTCTATAATTCTTATTCTATAACACCTTTTACAGCTAATTGTGCATGTTATTCTCAAGAAACAAAACATTTTCTTGAATACTAACCACCTCTAGAGCAGTCATCAACAATACCCTTTGATGTTAAAACATAAAATGCATCTTGTTGTCCTTTGTGTATCTGCATAGATACAACACCAATCACCAAAACCATGAAGGTTGTCCTAAAACCACCTCCTTTTGTAAACCCTCTTTAAGTTTTTTACATGGACCAGTCCCACAAAAACCAGTCTTCAATCTAGAGGGAAATTTTGGTAACATGACTAGCATTCTTATTGCCCTTCACCACCAACTTTTCATTTCATACCACCAGAACCCATCACTAATATGTCCCAACACAGTAGCCTGACTCTCCCCCTTTTCAACCCAAATCCACTCCCAGTCTGCCGAACCTCAATGTATCCTCCCAACCAGGGGCAGAGCCAGAAATTTTTTGTGAGGGGGGCCAAAACCTGAAGTGAAATGGGGGAGGGGGGAATAAGTATGGATTGGCCCATAGGGGGGGGCAATCATTGGGGTGGAGAGTTTGGGAGGGGGGAAATTTACATGGAAAGCTCTATTTCCAAGTGAAGAATTCTGGACCATAGGGGGGGCCATGGCTCCCCTGGGTCCCCCCTGGCTCCGCCCCTGCTCCCAACCTTGAATCCCTATCAACTTCATCTTATTTTCCAGTTAGTGCAACACATCTTAGTACCTGCGGCTTTACAAAGATTAGAGGCTTGAATATCCAATCCCTCTGCTTTCAAACAGATTCTTCATGCTCTTCTAGTTACAAGTTTATCTTAACCTATGAAATAACAATTCCATCACCATACTAACTTCAGTAAGTTGTATCATCAACAGTCTTCAAGTTTTGTTGTTCATTAGAATATTCTGCACCAATCAACAATGGTAGTTCCAGCAAGACAGAGTTCACTTCTACACTTAATGATATGATGGCAGCAAAAAGCTTCAGCAACTTAGACCATTATTACCCCTTCCTACACAACAAATGGGGAAAAGGAAATTGTAGAAATCTCCATGAATTAACATTCTCAATGATACTTATATATCAGCAAAATCATCGAAAAAATATAAGAGTATGACAACAAATGGGGAATTAGTCAAATAGATAGGAGGGAGGGAGGGAGGAGAGGGAGAGGGAGAGAGGGAGAGGGAGAGAGAGAGAGAGAGAGAGAGAATTACTCCCAAGCCATAGGATCCGTAAGTTAAAATTGTAGAACTAGTGCTCAAAATCTGGCTTTTTGGAAGACGACGCTGCCATGCTACCTTTTTTATCCATGCTAACACTATCTGCAAGATGACATAAAATATCCCCATTTTTAGATAACAAGTCAAAGATGTGCAGCATGAGAACCTACTAAGTATAAAGCAAATTGAATATAGTTATCGATTTGGCAACACAAGCAATGATACAAGATTTAATGATTTAAATGAGAATAATCAAACACCATATTTGTTCCACATTCCAATAGTGCAACTGAAATTGTTCCCAAAATTTATACCAACAAAATGTCATATACAGATATACTAGATTATCCATCTTGAGCAAATTAAGAAGATCAACTGAAAGCCAAATCTATGTACTGAACAGCTAAACCATAAAAAACACCATCTGATAATCAGAGTGAAGGGACCGCCTAAGTTGCCCCAAGATCTATTTGCATAATCCTTACTCAACCTTCTTTTGAGGATTGAATCTGGTCAGGTCTGATGAGCTATGGATTACAATCAGAGAATATAAAATGCATTACAATTTACAAGTAACATGCATTGAACTCAATTCTCAAATATCCATAAAAATGCCAGTTAATATAAAACAAAACCTCCCAAAACTATTGCCAAAATCACTAAGGAGCACCAACAAACCTTTCAAAACCCATATAAACTAGAACAAGTCCAGTAAGAAGCCTTTGCTACTACCAAACCAAAAAGAAACTGACTGACACAATAAGGAATCCTACTTTTGCATGAACAACTAGAAACTATCAATTTATACTATTTTCCTATCATACTTCTAAAACCACAATTGGCCCAGGTAAACTGTCATAGCATTCTACACTCATGCCTCAAACCCAAAATAAAAACCAATTATGATTTAACATTGCTGCCTTAAATGGGATCAATTGGATCTATATCATGTCCAAAGTCCAAACAAGGTTGTTACACTCAATTCTAATCCAACTTTGCCAAAAAGTATGAAGGATAACAAAATACATAGAAACATTTTATTATGTGTCATCCCTCTCTGAATTCTAAAATTGCCTGCAATTATCCTGTTTCACAATTACATAATCAAGGCAAGCATAGGAATCAAAATCAATAGAGATATATGCTCATTCTGGATCCAATGGCAGGAATCTCTCAGAGAAGTTTACCACAGGCTGCTCAGGCATCCATCTGACCTCAAATAACTGTAATAAAAGCCCCATGAACATTAATTATCACAAACCTTAGCCATATGGTGTATCTTAAGGTTGATGCAAAGCTAGTAACTCAGCTCTTCTTTTCTTATTTATTCAATTATGCCTCAGCTACATCTATCTCCCACTATATCCAATGTCTTCCCGTAACCTAACACCAGCCCGTGATCAGTAACTGCAAGAAGCATAAGTTCTCACTTGGAGGTCCAATGTTAACGATCCATATGCCATTTGAAGACATTGTCCAATTCTTCATTTTCAATCTCTCTTATATAAGATATTTTCAGGTTTTCCTCTTTCGGATGGGGAGACCTTGGAGAATCATCCCTCCCTTGCACTTACGAGGAACAGGTCCCATGCATCAGGCCAACCTTTTCTTATAAATAAACTCAAGATTCATCGAATAATGTTAGAAGCCGCTTGTAGTTAAGAGGAGCAAACGCAAGAGATGAAAGGAGAAAAAGAAAGGATCAAGAAATTTAAGATTCACGAATCCACTACATTTGATGTAAATGCCAACTAGTATCCAACTCCAAAAATCTAATAAAGTTCCTTTAGCCATGTCATCCCCCAAATTACCATTTAAAGCCACTAAACTAAATGGCAAAACCCCTAGTTATTTTAGGAAAACATATAGCAGCCAACAGACCTGCTTAAGCTCCGCAATCGCATCTAGCCTCTTTAGCTCATCGTCCGGTGACGGCAAGAGTCCTTCATCCGCCATAAACTGCGACATACAACCCAAAACCAATACCCATGTTAACAAGAAACCAACCAACATTGGGAAACACATAAACGCACAACGTGGAGAATAAGTTGGATAGTCGGTTCAGATACCTGAAGCAACGAGCGCGACCTTTCCTCATCCATATGTATCAGCAGAGCAGGATTAACAGTAAATCCAACAGAAGGAACAAAAGGAGGGTTTACCGGAACAAGAAACTCAACGCAGGGTGTTGCAGGTCGAAAATTAGGGTTTCCGATAACAAAAGATCTAGGAAATGAACCGAGGGAAGAAATCACAGTTCGATGATCAAAAAAATGTGGTCGAGGAATAACAAGACTCCTTTGGCTTGAATGAGCATATGCCATACACACGACTCAGATCGAAAAAGACTAAACCAAGATGTTATCAATGCCGAATGATAAGACTAATCCAAGAGGAGAAAATGCAAAGAGAAAGAAGAAAGAACGATCAGGTTTCAAGAAAAAACAAAATAGATAGGAAGAAGATCGATCACAGAAATCTAAAAACAGCAAAGCGAGACTAACAGGCAGGTAGCGAACTAAAATCACAGAGATTGAGAAGAGGAAGAGAGAGAGAGAGAGAGAGAGAGAGATGTGCACAGAAAGTAACGTTCCTTTCTACATTGCAGTATTTGAATGTCGAAATGGTGGAACAACCAAGGGCGATTGTCGATTGACTGACTCACTACCTTGTGCCTTGCCTTTTATAGCACCCTGTCTGAGGTGTCGCGACACTGTGTAAAGGCAGGGCAGCCCCTCAGGCTCACCGCCACTGAAAAATAAATTCAAATGCAACTCGTCGAACCAAGTAGTATGCTGACTTGATGCAGTGGCGTTTCTTTTTCCGTTTGATTGGAATCGATCAGGTATGGTTGACAGGTGACACAATCCTGTGACATGAACTTCGATGAATTCATTCCTGTAAGTTAAAAGAACCGATCCAACGGTAAATGGTATAAAGAGGACAGCCTGTAAGGCTGTAAGCTGTAATATCATCCGCCAACACGTCAACAAGAGGACTGGGCAGGGAAGGTAACTTTGTATGATATACCCAAACTGCCCTCGAGAAATAGATAATTGATTATTATGTTCACCCTCACCGGCATATATAAAAGCAACTCCACGAGCACGCAAGAAGACAGGAAGAGCCGCGAGAAGAGGCTCCATGACCTAGTAAGGGGCGATAGCAAGAGATAGAGAAAGAGAGATCAAGGATGGGTCGGATGTGGGCATCGTCGGCTTTCCGGTGGTTGGATTTCGATTTCTCCCTATCACCAGCGATATTCCGGTGGCCTGAATTCAACTTCTCGTACTTCACGCCAAGATGGGCCTTCGAGAGTTTCCGATGGCCTGATTTCAATTTCACCATCGTGGATGATGTGCTGTGGACCTTCGTCACGGTCTTCGAGTCCTTGGCCTTGGCTGCGATGCTGTGTTTCTTCTTCGTCTTCTGTGGCTGTACTCTCTGATTGCCGTATCTCTCCATCTGCAGCTTTGCTGGAATACTGAAATTTCAGGCGGCCGTTGGAACCGTTTTTCTCGGCGACCTCGCTAGAGTTATCGACGTCGGTGACGCTACTGTGAGATTGAGGATTGGCAGTTGAGAACGCTGATAAGTTGGGTATGATTACGAGTCTGGAGCCTAGACACGAAAACAGAATCCCTCTTCTATCTGATCTCGTAATCTTTTTTTCAGTCTTTTTTTGAGAGGTGCTTTATTCTCTTTAGTTTTAATTAACTTTTCGAGCTTTCTTGTATCTTCTTTTTCCATTAATTACCAGTTTCCCATCTGGGGATTGTGCATTTGTGCCAATATGCGCTCTTAGGCTAATCGTAAAACTCAAACAATTGAACTCAAAGAGTAGACAGCTCGGTCTGGCTGTCATTGCTCCTTTGCGCTCTCTCTCTCTCTCTTCGGACTTCGGTTAATCGAACTACGCAAGTAAAAGGGTATCATAATCATAGGCGTTGTCTGGGGGGGGGTTAGTGTGTTCCCGTCTTCCCGGCGCAGGTTAGTGCATGACAATTGATTAAGTGGAATATCTTCGCCGATATCATGGCAATTACCTAAAATGCCCTTAAATCTTTGTCTCGAGTGGATGGTGCGTTTGGACGGGGCACAACCGAATACGGTTTCGCCATGTCAAGAAGGTTCCGGGGTTCACGTTCCACCCGCAGATTGCGATGGATCCAATGGCTGTTGTATAACGTGGGTCCCATGTACCTCTTGTGTATGTGTGTAAATTCCAAAACCTGAGATGGGCAATTGGAGGACAAGAGGAAGCTCCGTCCGGTCCTCTTCTCTCACCCTTCTCCAACTAGGTGTCCGTTTGGTTCGAGAATCAAAATCCCATAGGATCTCATTCTCAAGAGGAAGGGAATGGGTGTATGAGATTCCGTTGGAATGGATTTACTATTTAGAATGGCTCATTGCCTCATTCCAATTCAGATCTCCATTCCCGCAAATCAAATCAAACGGGTTCTCCATGAATTTTCTGACAGCTGTTATAATTTTGTATCAATTATTTTAAAGATATTTTATAAGACACGTGTCACAAATTTTAATTTTGTTTAAATTATTTTAAGGATAAATTAAAGATATTTTATAAGACACGTGTCACAAATTTAACCAGTGTATTTATTTGATTCCTTTTTTTTTTTGTCATCTGTCAAATGCAAAAGATAATTGATTAGTGCTTCTGTGCTTGAGTGACGCACATGATCACTCTAAGGCCATCGATAATGTCAACGTGCAATCATATATGGGCGTTAGGCACTCGATGGCTTGAGGCATAAGCAGCTGGTGTGGTGTAGACCGATTTATATTGGATTGACTTGGGAGATGTTTGGAACCGTGACCCATTTTCGTGTCACATCGAATTTAAATAGGCATTTCAACCAACGTTCATATATCTCATTGTTTGGTTCAGATGATTATTAAAAAATTGGAATTTCATCGATGCATTAAATGTCAAATTTGGTGTTTCATGCATTGATGAACCGTTTCTTTAATGGTTAACTGATGTGTATCCTATATGGTGTTTACCTGTTAGCACATACATAAAAAACAGTGATGAAAATCACCTTATCAAACAGCATAGTATTGCTCACTGCTTATATAGCATAAGTGTTTTTTCTTGAAAATCGGTCCCAAAAAACGCCCACGCTTCTAAAAACCATGTTAGATTGAGCCAATATCTAGTCATGGACCTGATTTGGATTATAATTAAAATAAATTTGAACAACGGTTCAGATATTAAATTGGACGGTCTAAAATATTCATTGGATTATATTGGACTTGGTCCATTTGTAATGGATTCACATTGGATTCGATTGGACGGACTAAATCCAATCCAATCTACCAAAAGGATTCTTTGCATTGTAAGATTAAAAAGGGTAAGGATACATTTAACAAGAAAATTAGGTATGAATTTGCCTATTCTCCTAACCAAAATTCTTGGGCTTTCGGTTTCAAACTTTTATCACAGTTCTATTTAGGGTTTGTGCCTTTATGGGTTAATACATACGAAGTACTAGTATGTTCTTTCCTAATAGATTGTTCAGTCCAAAACCTCAAACATATAATGATATACCTTTGCTATATGGAAGTGAGATGCAAGGTTTTTAAATCTGGATCAGACAGGAAACCATTATGGGGACTGATTTTCAGGTCAAATTGTCTGACCATTTGGTTTGAGTGAGCAGTCCGTTCTAACTTAAAAATAATTTACAGTTAAAAATCATTGCCTAGGTCAATGGTTTAACAATTCAGCTATCCGGATCAACAGATCTCTGACCAAATCAATAGTTTTTGGCTAAAAGCAGTTTTAAGATGAAATGGAACTGATTACCTGACCGATTCTCAGTTTTTCTGGTCCAATTTTGAAAACTATAGTGAAATGTATCTTAAAATTACTATAATACCATTATCTTGTCAAAATAAAGATATGTTTGAATAGAATTTTGTTCGCATATAGAGTAACTGGGGCCTTGTAATATTAGTATTGCTGATGGCATTTCTTAGCTGCTAAGCTTGTAAGGTGCTACTGCTACAAGTCAAACCTTTCATTTTCACAATTTGAGTTTTCTTATTGTATTTCAGTTTTGTCAAGTCGTGGTTGTCGTGGAAATTTGGCTTCGCACCCAAACAATTTTATACATTGTTTTCAAAAACCGGATCGGACCGAAAAAACTAGGAACTGGTTACCTCCGTTTTCCTTCAAAACCATATTTTCTTCTAAAACCGTTGATTTTGGTCAGTAACCGCTGAATCAGTCAGTTAATCGTTCAAACCATTTGAACCGTTCGAACGGTTTTGACCGTTTTCCATTTTTTTTTGTTAAAACGGGCTGGCCATTTGGGTTGAACAATCAGACCATTCGAACCGGTAACTGGACCCTTGACCGGTTCGGTCACTGGTTTGTTTTTAAAAACCATGATTTTATATTTCGTGCAAAAAGAAACAAAAAAGATTTGAAAATTAAAATGGCTAAAAGGTCGAATTCAAATCATCAAAGAAAAAAACTCTCTCTCTCTCTCTCTCTCTCTCTCTCTCTCTATATATATATATATATATATCATCGACAAGTGGGATCCATCACTAAGACACATAGTGCAATGTGTAAGTAAAAGTTGCCACATCAATACAATTCAAAAATGAAAAATCTGTATTTACACTCAAAGCTGCATCTTGTTGGAATCCTATAATGGTTCTTGTGAATGAACTCGAATCTCCTACCCAACTATGTATAGGACACTATAGTTGTACATTGAGAACATTACAGTTAGCATATAAAAAGGGTAAAATACAAAAATCTCCCCTAAATTTTTTTATAATCATAAAATTTACCTTATAGTTTCATTTTAACAATACTTCTCCTGAACTTTTTTCGAAACTTGACAAAAACCTTCTTTTTGTCATCTTTTTAGACGAAAAACATTAGAATGATGCACCAGTTTTTTTTAAGTACCCATTTCACCTTTTTATAAAATATTTTACATACAAAATTACTGAATAACCATGTTTTAACTCGACAAAAACATTAGAGAATGACCATTGAAAGTAGATTTTTGTTAAGTAAAAGAATGGTTATTTTAGTAATTTTGTATGTAAAACAATTTATAAAAGGGTAGAATGGGTATTTGAAAAAAAAAACGGTGCATCAATTTAACGTTTTTCGTCTGTAAAGGTGATGGAAATGAGGTTTTAGTAGAGTTTCTCAAAAGTTTCAGGGGAGGTATTTATTAAAACAAAACTATAAGGGAGGTTTTTATAGTTGTCAGAAACTTCAGAGGATGTTTTTATATTTTACCCTAAATAAACATTGCTACATCAATACAATACAAAAATGAAAAATCTGTGTATGTATTTACAATTGAAGCTTGTTGGAATACAATAATAGCTTTATTAAGGGTAATTGTCCAAAACTCACAATGACTTTTCAGTGAGTTTTTATTTTCCAAAACTCCCCTTATGTTAAAGCACCATTAATATTCACTAATAGAAATTGTCCACGCCAGGATAAATACAATTCACACAACCAAATTGCCCCTGACTAGCAAATTAGAGAAAAAAAGTGCTCATTTAGGGTCTCTCTCTACCGATTTCACTCTTCCTCTGTTGCTGATAACTTCCTGCATGCCCTTCTGGGTAAGTACGATCTTGGGGTCGGGAATCCGACCATAAGCACTATCATCAATGTTGCCTTGGCTCTGCCCATGCAAGACTAGAATGATATGTTGAGGA